CCCTCAGAAAAGTCAGTGAGCGGTCATTCTTCAGCCTCTGGCCAGGTGACTCAGCGAAAGCCTCAAACGGGGGGCAGGGGGTGCCGAGTGGGAAGTGGCCTCACGGTTGGGTGCTGAGTTAGAGGCCCTTGGGGACGCTCAGAGGGTGGGGTCCAGAAAGCAGTCAGTCTGCAGCGCAGGAGAAAATTACGGACTGCAACGCTGGTATTTAAAATTACAGCCTGGGAGCGGCGGGCTCATCCAGGGAGCGGGGGGAGCCGGGACAGCCGGGACAAACTGGGGTGCGGGGGCAGACAGACGTGGACAGTGCTCCCGGGCGGGACCGCCGGCCACACGCAGGGCATGGGCCCGGCGCGGGGCTGGTGGGTGGCCTCGGGTCGCGGTGATGAGCCACCGCTCTCAGAGAACGCAGAAATTTAGGGGTCGGTGCAGGGTCAGCGGACAGGTCGACGTTCCCAGTTTTATTTTTATTTCCAGTGTGTAACAAGCCTTGTGACCAGGGACAGTTCTTCAAATCTGAAGAAGTTCCCAAATTATTCAGCATTGCTGCTTTTCCTTCTTACTTCCTTTTCTTGGTCTCATAGCACTTGGGTGACTGACCAGCCGTGGCAGTCTGAAGACCAAACCAAGGGAAACCAAACAGCACGGCGGTTTTTACCAGCCTGCGCTTCTGCCTCGGCCCCTCGGGCTTCTGCTCATACCCCGTCTGCTCTGCGGGGGGGCGCCGTGCGCCCACAGCCCCAAGCTCAGCACCTCGGTTGCAGGCACGCGAGGTGCCCCAGTGTGTGTGTGTGGGCGGGGGTGGAGGCCGGAGGCGCGTCAGGCTCTCGTGGAAACCGCCATCAGAGCTTCGAGTCCGTCTCCTGAGTGCGGCTGGGCGGGGACCGCGGGTCAGAGAGGGGGAGGAGGGATGAGCCTGGACGCTCAGAACCTTGCAGATAATCAAGCCCTTCCCCCAGGCAGGACCAAGGGGACAGAGAACAGGAAGGGGCAGCCCGAGGGACAGCGGGCACAGGACAGGGACGCCAGGGCCGGCACTGTCGGCGGCTCGGCCGGCAGACGCAGCCACGGGCGCCTGCCCCCCCAACATCGGTGACCGTGCACGGACGTGCGAGTGACGGCGGCGGCGAGAGGGCGGCCCCGAGCGCCCCAGGAGCGGCCCGTGCGCGCGTTTCCCGGCGCCTCTGTCTGCATCCCGCGGGTCCGCACCCGGTGAGGACAGATCCGGACGACGCGGGATGAGGTCGATGGGACTCGGTGCGGTCAGGCGCCCGCCTGCTGGCAGCGTGTGGACGCGCCGCACACACCTGCTCCCCGCAGGGCCCGTGCCCAGCCCGGCGCCGCCGGCTGTGTGCTCGCCCAGCTGCAGCCGGTTGGACGTGCGCGCGGATAGTGTCGCTTTGAGGAAGTTACAGATAAACGGCGCTTCTTTTCTAAGGGGATCCTTGTGGTTGTGGGGATTTCTGAGTTGGCTCCCCAGCCGTGCCCTGACCTTGTCCCCGGAGCCCACGAATAGGACGCGGTGGTTGTCCCACAAGTACCACTGGGCACAGCGGGCTGTCGGGGAGGTTCTCCCAACAGGGGGGCAGGAGGGGAGGCCGGCAGCGCAGGGAGAGGCAAGTGGGCGCCGCCACCCGGCTCCGAGGGAACCCAAGGCCTCCAGCTGCAGGCCTGGGCTCTGCCAACAGCCCAAGGGAGCGGAGAAGCAGGTTCTGTCCTGGGTCCCCGGGGAGGCCAGGCACCCCGCAGGGTGTCCAGCAGAGCCGGGCGACTTCTGGCGCCAGAACCGAGCGACGATGGCTCGAGCCACCGAGCTCGCAGGTGGTGTGCGCACAGCCGCGGAGACTCAGCCTCAGGAGACGCTCGTTGTGGGCGTGCGGGGGGAGCACCGGGCTGGGCCGCGGCCCCCGTGCACCGCAGCCACGCCCCCCGCAGGCCTCAGGAGTGTTCGTTCCGCCTGTGTGCGTTCCCAGGCAGCGCGGCAGCCCGGGCGGCCTGTCTCCCGAGAACCCCGGCTGCCGGGGTCGTGAAGGGGGCCCACGGGGCACAAGGCCGCCGAGTCAGGCCTGAGAGACCAGGGGCCCTCGCCTGCCAGTCACAGTGCTGTCCTCTGCCTGCCAGCTCGGGCAGAGAGCGGGTCCATGGGGCCCCAGAGATCTGGGCGGCCCTGCTCTGCTGGGCCCGCAGGCTCGCTCGCGGTGGCCCCACGGGAAGGGCCGGTTCCCTGGGGCCGCCCGGAATAGCTCGGCCTGGCCCCTGGCCTCTGGCCCCGCCGGTGCATAGGGACGCGGCATGAGCTGTACTCCGCCTCGGTCCCTCTGCAGGGGAGAGTCAGCAGGCTTTTCCCATGGCTGTGGGGTCAGGCCCGGCTCCACAGGGTCTTGGCAGCGGACACGTGACCAGGTTCCCTTCTGTTCCCTCGGGTCCAGTTTTCCAGAACCACAGTTTTATTTTAAACTTGGTCAGAGGGATTTGGTTTCAATTATGTGCCTTCCTGAGCTCCCAGTAACTTTCCAGTTAAGAGCTTTTGTGGGATTTTTCTAAGCCAGCCTCTGGGGTTTTGTGAACCACACACATTTCACAGGCGAAAGCCAGCCTGGTGCTGCCCCTTCCCGGGGCTGCCGTCTGACCGGACGGTGACCTGCGCCCTGTTCTCTCCCTGGAAGCAGGTCCCTCCAAGGCGGAGGCTGTGGGAGGGCCTCCGGGCGTCTCCCACAGCGGGGCGCCTGAGGGCCGGCCTGCAGCTCGCCCTCCCCTCTGCCTCTGTTTTCTGCGTCCGCCCTGGAGTCGGGGCGGCTGTCCTCTCACCTGCCCCACGGCTCCGCTCACGGTGTCTGTTGCCCACCCCCCCCCCCCCGCCCAGTCGGGCCTAAAAGCCGCAAAAGCGACTCCTCCCTTGAGGCTCCTGGCTCGTCGGACACTCCAGCATCTCACCACGGCGGCAGCGGCCGGGGCTTCCGTGGGGGCCAGAGCAACGTCCTCCCCAGCACGGACGCCCCCGCTGGTGGTCCCCGCGCGACCCGCGGGCCGAGAGGCGCCCCAGCGGCCGGGTGGGAGCAGAGCTGGGCGGGAGGTGTGGCAGGAAGATGGGGGCGGGGGCGGGGGCGGCGGGGGGGCCCCGGGTCGCCCCGGGTCGCCCCGGGTCTGGAGCTGCTGCACCAGGGGCGGCCAGGAGGCCCCGGCGCTGGGGCCACCCGGTGTCCGAGACGCTGGGCTTGGAGCCCCAGCTCCAGGGGTCACAGGCCCTCCCGGGTCGCGTCTGCCTGGTGGGGACACCGGCTCGCTGGCCGTGCCTGTCGGCTTCCTCCTCTGAAGTCACAGCCTTCACACTGTGGCAGCATGGCTCCCTCCTCAGCGTCCACGTCCTGTGGGGTCTGTGGCCTTCCCAGGATGCGCCGGGCAACCTGGGAGCGGGGGGCGGGGGCAGAGCCCCGCGGCGTCGGGTGAAGGCTGGAGTCCACGGCGGGGGGCCCGGGGCCACGCAGAGGCCCTCTCTTCTCCGTCGCCGGTGTGTTCCCAGGGCCCGCCTGGGGACGGGGACGGCACGGACCCCGGCCGGCTGGGGACGCCGGGGGGCTGCAGTCCTGCTCCGGGCCCTGCCCGGCTCGCACCGCGGCGTCGGGGGGTCCTCAGCCACATGCCTGCCTGCCACGCGGGAGTCGGGGGGCTGCCCCCCCCCGTGCCCTGTCCTCGCAGGAAGATGAACTCGGGCCTCTTGAAAACCCCGAGGAACCTGCCTTTTCGTGTCCAGGAACCGTGGCTTTTCTCGTTGCTGCTCGGGGGGCCCACCTACGGGGGGCCCCCCAAGAAACCACAGCTTCTTAATTAAAAATTGTGCATTTATTCTACACGTTTAAACTTCATCCACCTTCAAAGGGCTCTGATGGACGCAATACCCCCGTCGAGACTTTTTCCCACGGCTCAAAACTGTGTGAACTTGCTGATGTTGGTGCTGGTTAGTGTGCCTGCCATTTTTTGCTCCACCTCTTCCACATCAGGAAAAAGATCCTCTTTGAGAACTTTTTTCATGTGGGGAAACCAAAAAAAAAAAGTCGCTCACGGCAGGAGCAGGTGAATAGGGCGGGCAGGGCACCAGGGTCCCGCCGTTTCTGGTCCAAAACCGCTGACCCTTCCGCGCGGGGTGGGCAGCTGGGCTGGCCTGTGCCGCCGCGTGTGCACGGGAGGCCTGGAGGAGACACGGCCCGTTCAAAGGGGGGGCTCCCCGGAGAATGGTCACCTGCTCAGTCCGCCCCCTGGGCGCTGGGGCCGGGCCGGTGCGCGTCCCAGGTCAGGGACCAACGCCTTGGCCGGGCGGCTCGTCGAGGGGACGGACTGTTGGGCCCTTGGGTTTCTTTCTTCTTTTTTCTGCTCTTGGGGATTTCATTGTTAACACCTCAAACGAGGAACTAAGTAAACACGTTCAGAACAGTTTCTGCCTGAGTTCTGTGGAAACGGTTGAGGTAGGAGGATGAATGGCACCCACGACGAAACAGACGCGTGAGGCGCGGGCATGGCCATGGTTTCCTGCCGTGCCCCTGGCTGCGCCTGCACCCGGAGTCCTTTCCTCTGAGACCCCAGGGCTCTTCACGCCGTCCGGGACGGCCGGGCGAGCGAGGGCCACCCCCTCCTCAGCGGTCACCGCAGGCCTGGGAGAAGGCCGGCGCCGGCCAGAGGTTCCACGTGCGCTGATGTTTGCACGGGGCAGGGCCGGGGGTTGAGACCCCGAGGGAGACCCTGGACGGGTGCCAGGCCGCACCCTCTCACTCTGGAGGGCGGGGCAGGCGTGCCATCTGCAGCCCCAGGCCCCGGGCGGAGCCCTGGGTGCAAAGAGGCGCGCGGTGGCCCGCGGCTCCCCTTGACTCCTGCCCCGTCCCGCACCGCGCAGCTGAGGCATCCGACTTGAAAAGCGCGTTTGTGAATAGAAACACGAATGTCTGTCCCTTGTTGATGCTGGTCTTTAATCTTTGTTTCGTTTTGTTTTTGTCTCTTCCTGTGTCTAGCACGACAGGCTCTCCAGGTAAGAACGCCCGCCTCACACGCATGCGGAACCCGTGAGTGTGCACGCCTGAGCGAGCTTACACGCATGCCGAGCCCCTGTGTGGGAGCGCACGCCTGAGCGAGCGCGGCCCGCGGAGTCGGGTGTCCCTCGCGTCCTCTCCGCTTCCGCGGCCGCCGCAGCCGGTCCGACGCGCCTCCCCTCCTGCCTCCCGCCCCTCCCCCCAGCGCGCTGTGCACTTCACCCGCCCGGGATGCTGGCCTCGGCCTCAGAAAGAGCCAGCGCCCAGAGCGGCCTGGGTTCCCACAGAAGGGCCAGCGGTGGCCGCGTGGGACAGGGCCCTGCACAGTCCCCACCCTCGGGGGTGCTCAGTGGTCTGTCAGTGTGAACCGAGACCTGGCCTGCAGGGGCCGAGACCCCTGGGGCCCTCCAGAGCCCGGGGACTGTGCCTCTGTCCCTGTCCTCCTGCTCCCCGGGGGCTCGGAGCCACCTCCCTGGAGAACCAGAGAAAAGCAGCGGCGGCTCTGAAGCTGCCCCTGCCCACCGTCGCTCAGCGGGGGCTCAGAACACCTGCCGGCAGTGGGGCCATGGGACCCCACGGGGCGAGCGAGCCCCCTGCTTGCTGGGCACTTGAACTGGTCCTTCTTTATTGACGTATCTTGACACCTGCAAACGTGCACGACGCGCCCTCTGCTCGTCGCTCGCCAGCACCCGCTGAGGACAAACAGCTCCTGCCCGGCAGAAGATGGGCTTTGCCGAGTTGGGGAAGCATGTTCTTTTCCCCAGGTGGTTTCTTGTGAGATCTATTTATTTCGTAACAGCCAGTTGTGGAAAGAGGCTTTCCCTGCAGACTTTGATACATGCCCTGAAACTGCAGGGCTTAAAACAGCGAGGCCCTCGTTCAAGACCCGGCGGGTCAGTGGGACTCAGCAGGCGGCCCCAGGAGCCACGAGCGTGAGGTGACTCAAACCCCGGGATCATGTAGACAGTCAGCCGTCCATCTGGGAAAACAGCTCCTTCCTCCCAGTGCAAACCAAAACAATGAAACAAAATGCACCCACTTCAGATGGATTACAATTTGTAGAGAAAAAGATTTCACTGCAAAAGTCGTAGAAGAGAACGTTTATATAGGAGAGATCCTCCCAAGCGTGATACCAGAAAGGCGAAAGTTGTCAAATGTATACAAAATTGAAAACTGCTAGCGAAAGCCACCGTAGACAGACAGACAGCGAAGTGGGAGAGCCGCTGCCGGGCGCTGGCGGCGCCGCCCGCCCGCCCGCCCGCCCGCCCGGCTCCCGGGGTCTAAGGAGAGCGTGGAGCAGGGAGAGGCCGTGGGTGGGCGAGCGGCTCGGAAGCAAAGGCAAAACCCAAAGGCACTGACCCTGGTGGTTCGAAACCCGCACGGTGCCCTGTGGGGAGACGCCCTCCTGCTGGGCGAGGGAGAGCCGTGCTCTGTGCGCCGGCAGCAGCGTCCACGTCAGCGTTCAAGACGTGTCCACCCCTTGACCCAGCAGCTCCACTTCTGGGGTTTCCCCCTAACACAACAATTGGACGAAGGCCCCAAGGCTTACAGGGGTCTTCTCATTGTGACGTGAGTCACATCAGCTAAAACACTCAAACCAAAAAGCCCGGTTACCAACAGAGGGTTAACGCGCCTGCGGCCGCGCAGTGGAGGACCTCAGTGGAGGACCTCAGCCGTCGGAAATCGCTGGACCTGCTTTCACTCGCGTGACGGGACGCGGACCGTCACAGCGACGCGCGTAGGGCGGAGGGAGCGTTGGGAAGCCGTGTGCCTTGTCTGAAGCCACAGGAGAGTTCCGACCCCTCGCGCAGCGTGCCCGGCGAGAGTCCGAGCTGAAGCGTTCTCCGTGGCCACTGGGGCAGGGTGACAGGGTGGCTCTGGCTCCCTGCTTCGGACGCGTTGGCACTTCCTTTCCACCAGCATGTGTTGCTTTTGACATCAGGAAGGTCACTGACGAGATTTCTGTTGGTGGAAATTTCTTTGGAAGGTGAGGAGGAGGAGACTGACGTAGGACTTAGTAAGACAGAAGCAGCGCCTGGTGTTGCAGGAACCTCGTGGCCCCTCGTGCTCGCTCGGCTCCCACCCCCTGCAGCTGCCGCGGGCCCGAGGCCCGAGGTCTTCGTCCCCCGGCTGTGGCCCTTCAAACGCCCAGTGCAAGGACACAGAGCCCTGCAGGGCTGGTTTGCGCGCAGCCGTCTCATCCGCCACATTTCAGTTTGGCAAGAGCCAAGTCCCGTGAAACCGCAAACCGGTGCTGAGGATCAGGGTGCTGGTTGTCCACGCGCAGGACCCACGTGGCGGCTTCACCCGGGCGGCCGCCGGGCCGGCGGGTGGCGCGGGGTCCGAGGAAGGGGTGCGTGCGTGTTCCCGGCCGAGCTCCCGCGTGCTTCCCAGCAGGCCCCCTGCCCCTCCGCACCTGCTCTGCGCTCGAGGCCGCCCTGACCGGCCTCCGTGTGTCCCCCGCGTGTGTCCCGCAGGTTGGAGTCGGGGGGCAGTAACCCTGCAGCCAGCGACCCCTACAGTGACCGGGCCTCGGCGCGCGCACGTCGGGAGGCCCGGGAGGCCCGCCTGGCCTCACTGACCGGCCGCGGGGAGGAGGACAGCGGCAGGGACTACAGGAAGGTAGGCCGGCGCCTCGTCCCCGTCCCCGTCCCCGGTCGTCGTCTCCCCTGGGCAGGTCGGGGAGCCCAGGCCTGGCAGAGCAGAGGCTGCTCCGGCGACTCCTCAGGCCCCCTGGCTGCTCCCTCCCCGCGTCGTCTCCACGCCGTGTCCGGTGTCCGGAGCCCAGCGCTGGGAGGGGCGGCCCCCCGCGCAGTGTGTGAGGAGTGGTGGCCGGGCGGCCAGGAGCTGGGAAACAGAAGACCGGTTGGCCGGGTGCGGGCCGTGCCTGGACACCGGCGGGGGCGGTGCGCGTGGGGGGCCCCCACGGAGGTGACCCCACGTGTCTCCCCCAGCTCTATGAGAATGCGCTAACCGAAAACCAGAAGCTGAAGGCCAAGCTGCAGGAGGCCCAGCTGGAGCTGGCAGGCGTCAAGTCCCGGCTGGAGAAGACGGCCCAGGTGAGCGGGCGGGGCGGGGGCGGGGCGGACACGGCGCCGCGGAGACAGGGTCCCGGGGACAGGCCGCTGCCCGCCAGGCGCTGGCTGACCGCAGGCTCCTCCCGCGTTGGGCCGGAATGCGTGGTCCTCGCCGCCCCCCCACCCCACCCCGCCCAGGCCGAGCAGCTGCCGACCCTGCCAGGCAGAGGGCGCTAGAAGCAAAGCCCAGCCCCCGTCCTGCCATGCGCCAGTCACTGACGTTCACAAGAAACGGTGCTGCAGAGCAAGTCTCTGCTGTTGACCAAAAACGGAGTGTTCGGCGGGGGTCGGGGCTCACACTCGCATGGAGACAGTGCCCCAGGGACACGTGATGTTTGTGCCTGGAAGGTCCGCCTGGCTCTAAGGGGGCCGAGGTGGAAAAAGCAGAGCGCCCAGCGCAGCCGCCTGGCAGGCTTGGAGACGGCCATGGGCCGGCTCCAGGGGGCGCGGGGGAGACCAGCGGCCGTGGCCTTTGGGGCTGGGGGCCGGGGCGGAGCCAGAGGCCAGGGCGGCTGCTGCTCTGGCCGCGCCTCAGCACTCGAAGGGGAGCGGCCTCGGGCAGTGGCCCCTTGGCTTCCGCGTTTATCAGGTGCCTGCGGGGGTGGGGGACCCGCGGCGCCCGGGCCCTGGCGCAGCCTCCACGGCGTGGTGACGGCCCAGCCAGGCCCTCGGTGACGCTGGCCCCCCTTTGCTCCGGCAGAGACAGGAGAAGACGCCCGACAGGTCCTCGGTGCTGGAGGCAGAGAAGCGGGTGAGCGTCTCCCGTGCCGTCCCTGGGTGGCCGTGGACCCCGCTGCCCGGCTCTGGGCAGAGGCCTGGCTTTGGCCGCCCCTGAGGGCAGCTGCCCCCGCCCCTCCGGTCTCGCTCTGAAAGCAGCTGTGTTTCATGGTGCTCTTTCCCGGCCCGGAACACAGCCCCGTGTCCCCTCTGCTCCCGAGCTGCCCAGGGCTCAGGTGACGTCCTTGCTGGGGGTGGGGCCCCGGCTGGCAGCGTCCGCTCAGCCTCTGCCGCCAGCGTGACAGCAGCCCCCGAGGACCCAGGCGCCGGGGGAGCAGGGGTCCTGTCCCCGGGAGCCACTGGAGACTTCCAGCAGAGCTGCCCGTTGTCGGGGTGAGGGGGCGGTGCAGAGAGGGGGTTCTGTGGGTGAAGCGGGCTCGGGCGGCTCCCATGGGCCCTGCTGGTCCCCGGGCGGTGGGCGGCAGCAAGGGGCCGCCCGGCTCAGCCGCCGCCGCTCTCTCAGCAGGAGCGGCGTGCCCTGGAGCGGAAGATGTCGGAGATGGAGGAGGAGATGAAGGTGCGTCTCCCGTGGCTGAGCCCCGAGCTTGGTTCCCCCATTTCCTTCCCCTTCCCCGGGAGCAGCGCTGCTGTTGGCTTGGGGGACGCTGGAGGCCGAGCTGGCACAGCCGCCCAGACACGGGCCCCCAGGGGCAGGCGGGTGCCGCCTGCACGCCTGCCTGACTTGCTCGGCCTCCTCGCCGCCGCCTCAGGGCAGCTGCCTGCAGCCCGTCCCTGCCGGGGAGGGGGCCGCGCCGCCGCGGGGCCGCTGGGCAGGGGCTCCCTCGCCTGCCGCGCGCGACACCCAGCCTGCGGTCGCTGAGCACGGCCCCGCTGTCCTCCTTCCGGGGTCGTCTTGTACCGGACGCAAGATGCCGGGTGCCCGACTCGGGGCGGGGGCGGGGGCAGGCGCCCCCAGCTGCCTGGGGAGAGACGGGTGCTGACCGCTGGGCCTCGGGACCTGGTGGGGCCCAGGCTTCGCACAGACCGGTGCGCGCTCTCGGGGGTGAAGGGGGTGAAGGGGACGCGCTGCAGGCCCCCCGTCCCAGGAGCCCCATGAGGCCTCCCGGTACCTTGGACACGCGGCACCTTCGAAGCCGACTCGGGGCAGCGGGGCAGAGGTGACCGGTGGCCGGCTGTGCCGACGTGATAGACGTTCTCGCCATTGGTGTCTCCCACCCGCTGGTGCCCCCGCATCTGGAGGGAGTGCGTAGGGCTCCCGGCTGCGGGGGGACTCCCCTTGGGGGCCGCTGCCAGCGACGGTCCCTGTGCAGCAGTGCCCTGGAGGGAACCCCGGCCACCGGGCACTGGCCACGGGGTGCTGGGCCACGCCACGGGGCCGCGGAGGGGCCCCCCGCTCCGTTCAGCCGTCCTCGGGGCGCGCGTGGCAGCCCCAACACAGGGAGGTGGCGTCTCTGGCTGCCGCCCGTCGGGCTGGGGGCTCCTCAACCGGGTCCTGGCTTCCTGGCTCCTCCCCGTGGGTGCTGTGACACAGGACAGCGTTCGCTCTCCGCTGTCCTATGCCGCGCACCACGAACCTCGGGCTTGGTGGTTTAGATTAGGAAGTGGAGCCAGACCGTGGCTGTTCAGGCCCCAGACCAGGAGGGATGCTCGTCGGAAAATGACGTCTCTTAGTTAGAATTCACCCACCCGGTCAGATGCCATTATTCCCTTGACCAATTACGAGGCCGTAACAGACCCCCCCGCCCGGGCGGCCCTGCGCAGCCCGTGCCTGGCCGCACCTCCCTGTGCCTGCCTTCCCTGGGGGCTGCGCTCAGTTCTGCCTGTGCACACGTCGCAAAACGGGCACAGCCAGCCCTGAAGGGATCTGAGGCGCGTGGTTAGCGCTCAGGGTCCTCAGCCAGCCTGCAGCATGGGGTGGCGCGTGGCGGAAGTCCCGGTCCCGTCCGGCCTGGGACCCCGTCGTGCTCAGGGACGGTGGCGCCGTGCATGTCGCAGATCAGCTGCGCAGACATCCGCGCCTCTGGGCACGTGGGCTGGGGCGGGTGGAGGGCTGACCTCCCAGGAGCTGCGAGGCACTGGGTGCTCGGCTGCAGGAGGCGCCTCTGGGCCTGTTTACCTGGCTTTGGTGAAGCGGGTGAAAGGCCGGGGGCGGAGGGGGTGGAGAGCACTGGTGGGAGCGGCCCGGGCAGGTCGCACGTGGCGCCCTGGCGGGCGCGGGCTGCGGAGCGCACTCATCGAGGGGCGCCGGCCCCCCCAGGTCCTTGCACGAGGGCCCGCGCTGCACGGGTCTTGCGTTTCCTTTGCTGCCCCTGGAGACACCGGCGGGTGCCGCCCCGGAGCTTGCGCACCTCATTCCCTAGCCTGTTCGGTGCTGTTCCCTCTGGAACGTTCCGGCGGACGGCTCTTGCCTGGCTCCTGGTGCCGAGACGCCCCAGCCGCCCACCCTGACCTGCCTGTGTGCGCGGGAGGCAGGGTCCCACCCAGGGTGCAGTCCAGCGTCGACCCTGGAGGGGCGAGAGCCAGGGGCTCCCGTTGGCCACGGCAGCGGGCCCCGCCCACCCGCCCTCCCTCTCTCCAGGCGCAGCGCCCGGACGGACGGCTCTCGGGGGCCGGGGGAGGGTGGCCTGGTGCCTGCCCTGTGGCGGCGACTGGGAAGCACTCGGGGCCCAGCCTTTCCCAAGCCGGTGGCTCTGCTCTGGGGACAGATCCTCAGTGTCCTGTCTCTGCCTGTTTCTTGGACCCTCACACCACCTTCACCTTCTTGCTCTTCACTGCTGATCCTGTGTCTCTGTTTCTGTCCCCATCCATGTGGGCGGCGGGCACGCGGGTCTGGTCCTGCACATCTTCCCTTGGCCCCTGCGGCCCCCACACGGACCCTGTCCCCCCGCCTGAGCCCCTCGGCCCCGCCTTGCGCTGAGGCCCCGCGGGAGGGACAGGCAGCAGGGAGCAGGCCGGCGAGCACGGCCCCAGCGGGTCCCGTGAGGGCCCAGGCGCCAGGAGCCGGGTCTGTGGGCCGGTTCTTCTGTGCTGTCAGCACCTCTGCCACGATTGTCACCCAGCCCACGGCAGAGCCAGTGATGGGGCCCGAGAGCTGGACCGAGGCCGTGGCGCCGCGGGCTCCGCGGTGCTGGCGGCCCCAGCGCAGGCCAGGCCCTAACGGGTCCGGGTCCTGGAGCAGGGACCTTCCACCCTCGAGTGTGTCGCTCCCCCTTCCGAACAGCCTCAGGCAGAAGACACTTAGGCAGCAGCCACCTCTTCTAACTTGTAAAGAAGGAAACACGAGGAGGAAGTAAGAGAAGGACCCAGAAAGAAAATGCAGGGCGGGGCCCCCCCGGGGAGAGGTGGCCGGGCCGCATCCGCGACTTGCCACACCCTCCGCTCCAGTCCCAGTGACGGAGGAGGGTCCCCCGGGCGGTGGCTGGGCCAAGCCAGCCCAGCGCAGAGCCCCTGGAGGGCCGGCAGGCAGCTTCGCAGCCGGTGCTTGCCGAGCGCATGGCCCCCTCCCCGTGCTCCGCCGCTCTGCTCCTCTTCTGCATGCAGGCTGGTCGCCCACCATAGCCACACGCCCTCACCTCCTGGTCTGTCTGTCTGTCCGTGGTGTGTCTGTCCGTGGTCTGTCTGTCCGTCCCTCCGTGTCCCACTGCAGAACCTCCACCAGCTAAAACAGATCCAAACCCTGAAGCAGATGAACGCGCAGCTGCAGGCTGAGAACAGGGCGCTGGCCCGCGTGGTGGCCCGGCTCTCGGCCGCCGCGGAGGCCGCGCAGTCCCCGGAGCTGTAGCTGCGGCCCCTCCTCCACCTCCGCAGGCAGGTGCCCGTCTCGTGCTCCCAGGAGCTGGGCGCACCGCCCCGGGGCTGTGTGGAGGCGGTGGGGGCTGGTCCTGGGCGTGGGAGGAGCCGGGGCGCGGCGGGGGCGGGGGCGGGGGCTGCGGCTGCGAGCGCCACACTGAGGCCGCGCTTCCTCCGGCCACCCAGGCACAGCCCGTCCCCGGGCAGCTGGGGTTGGGGGGAACTGGGGGTGCAGGCTCAGCACGGACATGCCTGGGCTCCCCTGAAAAGCAGGGTCCTGGGTTGAGAACCGAAGCTTCCTCTCACTGCTTCTGGGAGCCTGGGCCATGGGGGGACTGGCCGTGTGCTGGGTGGGGGCCGACGGAAGGCTTGGGCCACCGGGGCCCAGACGTGTGGGGGCAGGGGGACCAGGGGGACCTGCTTGGCACCCCCTCAGGGCCTTCGTTCTCTTCCCGGGGGGCGTGTCCCACCCCCTCGTAGATCTCGGCCCCCAGTGGTGTGTCCCCGGCCTGCTGCGCGTGGGCTGGTGGGCTGGTGGGCTGCGAGGCCTCCGCTTTGGCAGAGGTGGAGGTGGGGCTCACGTTCCACCGAGAACTGAGGTGTTTGGTAAACAGAGCCTCTTCTTGGATGCGGGTCTGAGAGATGCTCACAGACCACAGATGACGTGTGTTGTCCCGCCCCCCGCCCCCCCAGAGGGTCCTGGGCGGGGCTGCTGAGCAGCTTCAGCCTCCGAGACCCCTTTCCATCTCCAGGGACAGCTGGGCTGGTCCCCGCGGGCCGGCCCTTCCCCGCCCCCTCGCTGGGCCTTTGGGTCGGCCGTGGTCATCTCTGCCCGCTGGGCTAGCGGCCCCAGCACAGAGGGAAGGCGCTGAGTGACCTGCCGAGGCCACCCTTTCAGATCGGCCCCCTCGAGACGCCCGGGAACTTGGGTCGGGCGACCGGGGACCCTGTTGTTCTCAGTGTCCCTCTTTCGCTGTCTGGGGTAGGAGGTGCGGACCTTTCAGTGGTCAGTGGCCATGATAACACTCGTTTATAAAGGCCGATGCCTAGTGCTCTACCCGCTGTTTCTGTTTATCCCCCAGAACAGCAGTTTTATAAATGAAAAAATCGGGCTCCAGGCCACTGGCCTCAGGTCACGCAAACAAAATTGAAAATCAAAATTCAAACCATGAGCATCAGGCTGCAGAGCCCAGGCCTGACCGCGGGCGTGTGAGCCGGCCGCACAGCTCTGCCTGGCAGTGGCCGGGACAGCGCTGCCTCCTCCACGCGGGCGGCTGCTCCCCGACAGCTGTGCCTGGCGCGTGGCCTCCCGGGCGCAGAGACATGGAGTCTCCCGAGCCACATGGGAATTGTGTGGAATCAAAGTTCAGTTTCCAGCCTGAAGCTTTGCTGGACCTGAGGCCGCTGCCTCATTGCTGTGGCCGAGGGGCGCCCTGCACGGAGGAGGCCTGCGCCCCGGAGGCAGGCTGGGAGGGGGAGGGCGGCGGCAGCCTGGTCCCGAGGCACCTGCCTTCCTGGGGCTGTCCTCAGTGGTCCCCTGGGACACGCTGGTCTCGGTGTGCGGTGCCGTCGGTTGTCACCGTGCACAAGCAGGACCCTCCCTGCCCACCGGGCAGCGGGAGCGAGGCGGGGCCCCCCGCATCCCTGGCCCCCCGGCTCCGGGACCCTCCTCCTCGAGAGCACTCTCCTCCTCCACGGCCGAAAGGAGAAATGAGAAACGTCCTCGGCTTTGCTTGTCCGCGATACCTCAGCATGCGGCCCTGGTACGGGGCGCGGAAGTGAAGGAAGCCGACCGACTGGCGAGCAGCGCCCCCCCTCCCCCCACCGACCCCGGGCCCCCCGACCCCCTAGCCGCCCAAGCGTCAGCGCCGCAGAGAAGTGGCCTCATCCAGTTTCTTCAGAGAATTGAGTTCTGTGTGCAGATGGGGCCCGGGCCCCAGGGGGCGTGTGTGCCGTGGAAGGGGGCGGGGCAGCTCCGGGGCGCTGCCGGCAGGGCCCTGCAGGGCGCGGTGGGGGCGGGGGGCAGGGACCGAGGGCGAGCATCCTGAGCTCACGGGGGTTGGGCCAGGAGCCGTGGGCCCCACGGCCTGCGGGCTGGATGTGGGGCGTGGGCTCGGGCCGCTGTTTCGGGGGGCCCCTGAACAGGGGTGGCGCAGGGTGAGGACCTCCAGGCTGGAAACTGCAGCCTCTGCACCTCAGTGCCTTGTCCCCCTGGGCGTCCTCTGTCAGGATGGCGTGACCTTTGGGGCCACGCACACGCGGGTTCTGCATCGGCTGTGAGCCGCCGGGCCCCTCGGGGAAGTTACGGGCTCACGGCGTCCTCGGTGACGGTGGCTTTTCCCTCCCAGGACGCAGCTCATGTGGCCCCTGCGCCGTGCGCAGGAGGTGCAGGGGGCGCAGGGCAGCCGTCCTGTTGGGGCCTCAGCTCCAGGCCTCACGGCCCCACGTGGCCCCTGCAGGCCTGGGTGCAAGGACGCCTCGCGGGCGGGTGCGGGGGCCGCGGACGCAGCGGCCCCACCCCATGGCACCCGCCGCCCAGACCTGGGGGTTTCCACGTGCCCCCGCAGCCGTCCGAGGGCCTGGGCCTGGGGGGGCTCCGGGCTGCGGCTCCCCCGCCTCCCAGGTCGGGCGACCCCAACGCCCCAGGGACGGCAGAGCCGGCAGAAGGGGCCCCTGCGATGGCCGCCCAGCCCGGCCGCGGCGGCCCCAGCAGCCCCCCAGGGACCGCGAGCGGGGCTCGGGGGCAGTTGAGCCTGCGCCCTGGTGGCTGGATCCGCCTTTCCAGTGGCTGTGAACCAGCCTGTGCTCCTGGTTGACCCCCCGCCCCGCGCCCCTGGGCACGGTTCCCAGCTCCTCCAGACCCCAGGCGACGGAGGGCGGCCGCGAGGGGGGCCGCCTGGCTGAGCAGACTGGGCGGGGGCTGCGGGGGCGTGAGGCCCTTGTGCCTGCAGAGCGGGGTCCCAGCGACCCTGCCCGCCGCCCGGTCACCTCGGGCGGTGACACCCCTTCCCTCTGTCACCGCAGGTGTTGACAGAGCTGAAGTCCGACAACCAGAGGCTGAAGGATGAGAACGGCGCCCTCATCCGCGTCATCAGCAAACTGTCCAAGTAGCTGCGGCCGCCGGCCGGGGGGGCCGGGCCAGTCCACTGCCCCTCCCGCTGAGGGAGGGCGTGCGCGGCCGGTCACTTGTCCCCGCCGCCTGCAGTCGCCTGCTCTGCTTCCCTCTGCACTCTGCTCCACGCACGCTGGGTTTTGCCACGGTTCTCACGGACGCCTGGCGTGACCGCCCGCGCCCCACGAAGGGGCCCGGCTGCCAGTCCTCCCCCGGTCCCTCCCCGGGTCCCACCCCGGCCAGAGCCTCCTGGCAGCTCCTGCCGGACCCTGTGCGGGACGTGCGAGGCCGCGGGCTGGGAGACCGGCCGTCGCGCCGCCTGTGGGCCCGTTTCTGCTCGGCCCCGGGGGCGGGGCGCACGGGGGCCCCTGCTGGCCGTCACCTCTCAGGACCTGGCCTTCCCTGCCCCTCGTGCCGGCAGCTCTCGATCGACAACCGGCTGCGTCCCTGACCAGCCCTCGCGCCCTCCCCGGGGCTGGAGCGGCCCTGCTGCCGAGGCCTCTCCAACCACCTGCCAGCGCCGCCCAGGCCCCTCCCCGAAGGGCGCCCCGCCCCCGACGGCGGCTGTCAGAAAGGCCTGTCGCCCTGCGCCTCGTTCTGCTCGCTCCGGCCCCTGGTCCAAGGTGGGGCGATGCAGGGAGGCTGAGGGGTGCTCGGCAGGGGGGCGGGGGGCAGGCGCGCAGCGTCGGTGGGGGCCCGGAGGACAGCAGCCTGTGCGTGCGGCCTGCGGGTTTCTGGCGGCCACGTGTAGGGCAGAGGCGCTGGTGCCCTGAGACGCCAGCAGGAGTGGCTTCGTCACCGAGGGTGGGAGGGTGGGAGGCGCGGAACATGAGGTCCTTTGGTCCCGCTTTGCACCCTCGGGGCCGCTGTGGGTGTTGCCGCCGCTCAGAGCTGGGCGGCTGGTAGCCAGAGCGGTTTCCTGACATGAGGTGAGGCCCGTGGGCACCCCAGGGTCCCTGTGCCCGCCAGCCCTTGCCCCGTGCCGGGCGGCCTCCCCTCCTCTCCCAGCACGTGCGTCCGCAGTCCCCAGAGACGTCCTGGTCCCCAGACAAAAACCCCCTGGTGGGGGCGCGGGTGCCCCAGACGGCTGGGCCACCGGCCCGGCTGGAGTTAGACCCGAGTCCTGCACGCGGACCCGACACTAACCCCCGAGCCGGTGCCAGCGCGGGCGTCCAGACCTCGGCCGCCTTCCTCTGCCCGCGGCCCCTCCCTGCAGGGCTGCGGCGGCTGCTCCGGCCCGTCCTCCCAGGACGGGGGCGTGTTGTGTGTGCTCGGCCGCCCGGGGGCCCCGCTGTCAGCGCATGGGCCGCTGCGCCGCCCTCTTCCCCAGCAGCCCCTGTGGTGAGGGACGGGTGTCCCGAGCGCGGACCTCGGGGATGATGGCGGGACATCAGCCACCCCGCGGGCGCCTCCCCCGGGGACAGCGAGCTCTGGCGAGGTGTCGCCTGGCCGGCTCCCTGGCACGTCCTGGGTGCTGGGGAGGGACAGGGCAGCTGCTGCTTTCTCAGGAAAAGACGACTGAGTTGTTGGGGAGACGGCTCCGCCCCCGTCCCCGGGGACCCCGCAGGGACGGGGAGGCCCCGAGCGCTGTCCGACCTGCTGTGCCTTCACGCGTGGGCGGCACTCAGGCTCGGGTGGCTGCTCCTCTGTGTCAAAGATGCCTTTTCTTGCCAGAAAGTTTTCCTTGTGACGAAGTCACTAACTTTTCAACCTCAGGAATCCTGGGTTCCGTGGCTGACCCCGACCGGGTGGGGGTGCTTCTCTGGGGCCCCCGCCCAGCCGCGCCCGCCTTTGCGACCAAGGTGTGCCGGAGGCCCCTGGGAGGGCGGCATCGGGTCCACTTCGCCCGCGGTCCCCGCCCTAAACCAGGCGGTGCCTCCGGGGCCGCCCCTCTGACCGCCCCGGCGCCACAGAGGCCCATGGCCGGAGGGGTTGAGAGGAGCGGGCAGCAGGGCCACGCGCCGGGCTGGGTCCCTGCTCTGCCCGGGTCCCGCTCTCCCAGGCAGGCGGCGTGTCCACCCAGACAGGCACGCGCCCCTCGTGAGGGGGATGGGGGCCATCGAGAGGGCGGGAGCACAGGGCCTCGTGGCGTTGCGGGCGCCGCCTGGGCCCTCAGCCAGGCCTGCGGGAAGGGGCTCCTGCTCTTTGTCCGGGAGGCACCTGTCAGCGAGGGGCCCCCGCAGGGCCCTCATCCTCCCGCGGCCCCCGCCGCCGTCCCTGCCCCCGCCTGGGCCGACGACAGCCGCAGGCCGAGGTCCCCAGGCCGCCGCGCAGGGCGCAGGGCGGGGCTGGGGCACCGAGCAGCTGAGGACAGAGCAGGCTGGGGGGGCCGGGCCGCGTCGGGGGGTCCTTCCCTGAGTGGGTCCGCAAGGAGACCCCAGGGGCAGGGCCCGAGCTGGGAAGAGGCAGAAGGCCTGCCCTGGGGCCGGAGCGGGTGCTGGCTGCTGGCGGGGTGGGGGGCTCCCCCGTGGCGCCCTGTCCCAGGCATCCACCTGCCCGGGAGCGGCAGCCCCCCCAGGTCGGCGGCTGCCGCCTGAGTCCGGGTGAGGCCGTGGGTGGGTGGACTTGGGGGCGGCCCCGGGGCTGCTGTCAGCTGCTGGGGACACGGGGGCCGAGGGGCAGCAGAGCGTCTTGGCCGGCAAGGGCGCGGGAGAGGAGAGGGCTCGGGCCCCCTGTCTGGCGTGTCCGGGGTCAAAGCCACTCCTGGGGGGCCCTCGGGAAGATGTGTCCCAGTCGGGGGCAAGCTCAGGACGGCGTCAGCCGATCCATCATGGCTGCGGGGTGTTTCGGGGGTCTGGGCTGTGCCTGGACAGCCCCCCGCCCCGCCCCCCACACCCCCAACGTGGACCGTGAATCTGCAGACACGTTCTGTCCCTTCTCCCCAGTGCCCCCGTGAACGTCCCTGGGGGACCCTGGAGGCGATTTCAGGGTGCTCTGTGTGCGTCACCCGGCCCCCCCGCCCCAGACGATGGTGCCCCAGGGAATGTCTCCCGTGAACCAGCCGCCACTGCCCGTCCTGCCTGGGGCCTGAGGGCAGGCTGCCGGCCCGGCGGGCGGGGTGCGTGGGCCAGCGCGTCCTGAGAGGTGTGGCCACTCCCCACTGGAAACGTGGCGGAGCCTGCGGAGCAGCACAGGCCTGTGGGTGGCGGGGCCCTCGTGTGACCTGAGACCCGTGCCACCCGGCCCCCGGCCCCCCCCCACCAACCGGGGCCGGGGAGGGTCTGGGAGGCGTCCCTGGGGGAACGGCGGCCGCCGTCACTGTCACCGTCTCCGAGAGGAGCCTGCGCCCTGACGGCCTCCCTGCACCTCCCGCTCGGTCAGCGGGGTCCCCGTGCCTCCCGCTGTGGGTGCCCCCACCCGCAGCACCGAGGTGAGCGCGGCTGGGCCTCAGCCCTTTGTAAATACCTGGGAGGGTGGGGCAGGTCGCTTTGTGAACTGAATGTATTTTTATGCAATTTCGAGTGGCCTTTCGACCTGAGATGAATGAATTTTTTCTGGTGGTGGTTATATAACATTGTGTTCTGTGTGTCAGAGTTTGGGGATAGCGGCACTCACGCCTGTGTGATGCCTGTGAACACAACAGTATTTATAAAAGAGGAAATAAAACTGTGTTGCAACCGTGTGGCCCTGTCTCCGCGGTCCGTGGCCCCAGGCGCCACTGGGTGCCACCGTGGCGGCCGCCAGGCCGCCCTCCCGCCTCGCCCAGGACGGGGACACGTGGGTCCCAGAGCCAGCGGGACCGCGAGGGCTGGGCCCCCGTGCCGGCACGGAGCGGGGTCCTGCCTGGGAGCACAGAGCTGGGGCGGCGAGGGTGCTGCGCCCACCCATCCATGGGGCGGCTGCCGGAGCCGGAGCTGCTGACGCCCCCGCCCCGCCCCGCCCCACCCCCGCCTGGAGCAGCGGCTCGCCTGGCATCCCTGGAGGTTCAATCCAAACTCGGGTGCCAGGCAACCCCACCGAGCACTGTGGCAGGGACCCCGCCGCCCACTGCCTCCCCGAGGCCCCGCGCCCCAGCGGCCCCTCCCAGGTTGGCCTCCCGCCCGGGCTCGTACAGCGGCTGACCCCCAAGCCCGGCTCTGCTGGGAGCCCCCGAGGGCCCGGCACACCCCCAGCACCGCCCCGCACCCCCGGAAAGGCCGCCGTGTGGCCCGCCGGCCCAGGCTCCCTGCCTGCCTCAGGAAGATGCCGGGCTTGGGACCCACGCCCCCTGCCCGGCTGCCCCCCCCCCCCCCCGCCCAGCAAACAACAGGAGACGCCCCCCCGCCCCCAGGTTTCTCTGAGCTCATTTCTTTAATAAGGAAACGCAGCTCGTTACAAAATGACAATTTGACAAGAGACCAGACACGGGTCCACATGAGGGGGAGGCACTGCCAAGCAGGGCAGGGGGCTGCACGCGCATCCTTCCAGTGGAGACGGGTGGGGGGGCGGGGGGGCAGGGGCCGGGGTGGGGGAGGCTCCTGGTGGGGCCGCGCAACGGGGGCCAGGCAGGCTCGCGGCGCCCCCTGGTGTCAAGCTTCCAGAAAGCAAACCCCATCCTTAGATGGGGGGTCAGGGTGAGGGGCCCAGTCCTGGGCTGCGGGGGACGTGCCCCTGTCACCGGTCACACACGCATGCCCTCACTCTGGCCTCCTGTCTGCGGGGGGCCCTCCACTCTTCCAAGCACCGGCCCCGCCCGCTCGGACGCGGCCCCATCACCACCCCCGTGCACGGCGGGGCCCCCGACACCAGCCCGCCCGGCCGCCTTGGCCCGTCGGACACGGCCGCCTGCCGCCCAGCCCTCCCCGTCCTGCGCACACCTCAGCCACCCTGCCTGCGACCTGCCGGGCTGGGCGGGCAGCCACGTGGGCCCCTGCCAGGCCTAGCCCTGCTCAGAGGGGCCCTGCAGCCCCCTGGGCCATCCAGGGACCCGGCCCCTCCGTGGGAAGTGAGCACCGTCCACCCAGGTGGCGACGGGGCCCGGCCGCGGGCCGAGCGGCTGCCCCCGAGCGTCCTGGGCGCCTCAGCAGCCCCTGGAAAGGCACCAAAACTCGGGAGCGCCTGGCAGGGCCCCGTGCACCCCACCGGTGCAGGTGGCGGCGGGCGCCAGCCCGCCCGGGAGCAGCCACAGCCCCTGAGGCCCCGCCAGGAGCCCTGGACGCCTTCGCCCTCGCGGCGCAGGCTGACGCGGGGGGCGGGGGAGCAGGCAAGCCCTTCGGAGGCGTCTGTGGGCGCCAGTCGGGGACGGAGCTCCTGGTGGGGGGGCCCGGCCCCCGGCCCCGCAGGAGCCCCGTTATGGCTTCTCAGTGAGTTCACACAGTGGGTGAAGGGGCACCTCACACACGGGGAGACCAGACAGCGGTCCGGACACGGAGCTCGGGGCACCGGGGGCCGCCCTGCAGACCGAGGACCCCGAGGCTCCCTGGGGGCGCGGTGGGGACAGGGGCAGACGTCAGGACGCAGACGCGGAGGCGGGGGTGGGCGCTGGGCCCTGCCATGCGCTGTGCACAGGTCAGACATGCACGGGGGGGGCGGGGCGCGGGGGGGCCCTGCTCGCATGGCTGCAGGCGGCGGCTGTCGTCTGCACAACCGACGCACGGGGGGCCGGGCAATGGCTTCGGGAGGCTCCCGTTTTGTCGTGGCTTAAAAAATAAAGCACGTTCGTGTGCCGTCAAGTCGGTGTCCCCTTCTCAGTATTGCAGCTCAAAGGACAGGTGAAGCGGCGCCCAGACCCGTTGGAGCCCCTGGGACGAGGGCAGGACCGGCACCCGGGGACATGGCAAAGGCCCGTGTCCCGGGCCGGCCCTCGGACATGCTTACGCTTTAAAATTATTTGTCGTTTATCTGAAATTCAAATCTAACGGGGCGTTGTGTGTTTTTACATTTGCCGCATCTGGCGACCAGGCCGCGGGGCTCAGGGCACAAGGACCAGCAGCCCCAGGCCCGCCCTGTGCCCTGCATGGGGCCTGCACCCCAGGGCCCCAGGAAGAAACCTGCAGAGCAGCAAGGGTCCGAACGGCCCTTCTCTCCGGGGTGGAGAACATGCGCACACACGCCCAGCAGGTGCCTTCTGCTGGGACAGCTGGTCTGGGCCGGAGCCCCAGAGCCGGCATCCCTGCTGCCCCAGGCCCAACACCTCTCAGCCGCCCGCCCCACGCCTCAAGGCTGCCCCCTAGCGGTGGGTCCGGAGCGATAAGATCCAGCCTGCGTCCCCAGGCCCAGGGACACTGGAGCCGCCAGAGGATCCTGCCACCTGCTGTCCTCCTGTGAGGACGGCGGCCTACCCAGGGCTCTGGAAGGGCCACCGGGAGCCTCCCTGGCAGAAGCCAGTGCAGGGAAGGGAGGTGGGTGGGCCAGGGCCAGGGCCAGGTCCAGGGCTGCAGGACGCAGGTAGGGAAGGAGCACGGGACACCCTGAGGAAGCACCAAACTCCCCCTGCCCCGGGGAGGGGGGGCCGAGCCCAGGGACCTGGGACGGCGGACTCTGCAGGCACCCGCTGGCCCACACGGCTGGCTCCTCGTCCTCATCTGCCTGTCTCGTTGCCGGCAACGCACCCGTAAACACGCACACGTGTGCACACACGCCATGGCCACTGGGGAGCAGCAGCCCCCGCCGCCCCAGCCGAAAGGCGCCAAAGACCAAGCACCGTTGCCTCCCTTTCAGTGAAATCAAAAGTCGCTCTGTGGGGCCGCACCCCCCGGGCCCCGTGGCCCCTCACGGCCGGCCCCTCTGCCCCAGGCGCCCAGGAAGCTGGGCGCAGGCAGGCAGCTTCCCGGGGAGGAGAGCGGTCCACGGACGGGGCGCCGTGAGGGCCTGGGGCCGCCTCTCCTGCCCAGCGGCAGGTGTGGAAGGGGACTCAGTGCAAACTTGAGTGGCAGGTATATGGCTTTTTATCAATGCTGGGGACAGAGGGCGGACAGGAAGCGGGACACGGAGCGCAGGCAGAGCCCCGGCGTCGGAACGGAGGCCCTGCCTGCCCGCGGGGGCTCAGGGACGCCACCCCGCGAGCGGCAGCCGGGCCCCCACAGCGTTGGCCGGCTCCCGCGTCCGGGAAGCCTCTGTGCTCTGTCCACCACCCTCCCCTCCTCACCTGGGCCTCGGGGCTACTAAGACCAGCGCGACCTCTCGTAAAGCTCCCTGGCTCCGCACAGCTGACCGTCTTCGGGCAGGCTGCTCCGCTCGGAGGAAAACAAAACAAGCCAAAGCACGATGGGGGGAGGGCCTGCGGGTGCTGGGTGCCCCCCGGAGGGCGAGGGTCCGGGGGTGCGGCTGGGGTTTCAAGGAGATGGGCCTCCCGCTCCTTCTGAGTTGTGTATGAACGGTCAACAACCGTGAGGTCCCAGGCTGCCAGCCCCTCCCAGAGTCCGACCGATCCAGCAAAGAGTTCAGGTCCACGGGCATCCCAGAAACACCTGGGCGGCAGCCACGGCCGGGAGCAGGGCGGCAGCGATGTCAGGGGTGGTCCTCGCTCGGCACAAGTCCAGGCTCCGCCCCAAGCGGCCGCCCACAGGGAGGGAGGCCCTGCGGGTAGCCTAGCGGCCTGAGCCCCGTCTGCAGCCGACCTCCCGCTTAGGCCAAGGACCCCCTTCCAGTCGGGGTCCCCGAAGAGCCTCCTGCTCCCACAGAAATCCACCATCCGTGGCTCCTTCCCGGGGCGCGGAAAGACGCTCACACGCACACGCACCCACACGCACACGCATGCACGGGGATCGCTGGCCACTAGGCACCTCCCCCAACAGGAAACAGGAAGTGCTGCCGTTCCCTGGTCCCGAACACGCAACGGCGGGGGCCACGCGGCGACCGTCGGCCACGAGAGGGCCCGCTCCTGCGGCGTGAGCGGAGCTGTGGCCGGGGGGGCCGCAGCAGGGCATGCAGGGGGCAGCTCCTGGGCAGCGACGAGAGCCAGGCTTCTCTCCCCGTCGCGGGGCCACCGGAGGGAAGCCAGTCTCACGGCGGTGGACGGGGGGGACGAGGACACGGCCGCGGACGATGGAGGGGGGGGCTTCTAAGGTGCGTGACTGAGGTATCGGTAGCTCTGGGTCTCGTCGGAGTCCGAGCCGGCGGCGCGAGTCGCGGCCGCCGCCGCCGCTACTTGTTCTTGCCTAGCAGGGCGTCCACCTCCTCCTCGGGCTTCAGCGAGTGCCACTGGGCGATGGGCCGGCGCGGGTTGGCCAGCATGTCGGACCAGTGCCGCAGCTCCGTGCCCGTGGCGTTGCTGCCCACGAAGATCTTGCCGATGGCCTCGTTCTTGCCCAGCTTGTCGTAGTCCAGCACCGTGATCACCACCTGGACTTTCTGCAGAGGCAAGGTGGGCGTCGGCCGGCGAAGGGTCCCCACGGCCAGGCGTCCGCCCCATGCCACCGCCGCCTCCCACGGCCGGGGGGTGAGGACATGGCCCCGGGCTCCCCGCTTGCGCCCCGAGGCCCCGCGCCCGAACGTGCTCGACACGTACGCCGCCCAGCAGGGGGGCGAGGCGAGGCAGGCGGCTCAGGGCACAGGGACCTCAGGGGAGGGGACGCTCCTGCTGGGCCCCGAGAGAGCGGCGCTGCACCGGTTCTGACCAGTCGTGCTCGCGGCCCCCGGGCCAGGGGTCCGGCCCCCTCTGCTCAAGCCCAGCCTGTGGGCTGCCCGCCCCACGACAGCCCCGGGCACCTGGATCTGCTCAAAGGGGATCTCGAAGCTGAAGGACTCGTTGAAGTAGGGGTTCAGCGTCTTCTTCTTCACCGTCGTTTTCTTCTTCTTCAGCCTCTTGCCGTTCTGCATCAGGTGGATCTTCACGTAGGGGTCTGCGCGGGGAGAGCCCCCGGGTGCCGTCAGCCCCTCCTCGGGGGAGCCCCGCCCCTGGGCGCCCCCGCTCCTCCCGCCCGAGGCGGCCGCTGCACCCGCAGACACGGAGCGAGCGCCCACGCGGGTCCGGGGGCCGCCCCCGCGCACCACCCGTGCTCAGCCGTGGCGGCAAGAACGTGTGAGGCTGCTCGGTGGCGGCCGCCGGGCCGGCGGGAGGCTGCCCGGGGACCCAGCCCCCTCCTCCTGACCCGGCAGGTGAGAGGCCGAGGCCCACGGGAGGGACGTCCCGTCCGAGGTCACCCACCGGGTCAGTGGCTGGGCTGAGCTGGCAGCAGGCCTGTCGTTGGAGCCCTGGCTGCTTCTCAGGAGGATGCGGCTGCATGCGCCACCTGGCCGGGGGCCAGGCCCCCAGAGCACCCCCGCCCCCGGCACCCCCAGGGTGGAGCCCCTGAGCCTGCGGTGGCGCCGCCGACGCTCCCTGGGAGGAGGATCCTGCTTCGCTGGCCCTTCTTGGGGGGAGATCTCTCGGCCCAGGGCCCAGCAGGAGAACCGGGGGGCGGGGGCCGCTCCGAGCGGGGCGGGTGGGGGCCTCAGAGGCAGGGAGGCGCTGGGAAGCCAGACCGGCCCGGCCGGAAGCCTCGGGGGCTGCGGCAGGTCCCGGCTCGCTGGTGCCCCCGAGTGGCAGCCCAGGAGCCTGCACGCACCTGAAAGGCCGCCCACGTCCATCTTCTTCAGGTTCTTGGCCTCCAGGATGCAGACGGTGAGCTTCCCGGCCGTGGGCACGTAGCGCAGGGAGGTGCAGATGTCGCCCAGCTTCTCTGGCTGTCGGGGGGACGCGGGCCGGGTCACCGCAGCCGCCCCGCCGCCCCGCCGCGGGCGCGTCCCTCCGCGCCCCCGACGACCAAGCGGCTGTCTCAGCGTCAACCCCGGGCCTCCCACGGCCCCGGGAGCGGACAGGCGGCCGGCAGGCGGAGGATCCATCCGAGCAAACGCGGGCTCGCCCCGTGGGTACACCGAGGCACGGAGCCCGGGACCGCCGGCCCTCAGCGACGGCAGCAGAGGCCCACGTGCTGCCCAGGAGCCACCCCAAGGTCCGCGCGGAGCCGGGGCGTCGCCCTCGCCCGCGGGGCCTCACCTCCTCCTTCTCCCCGCCCTGCAGGTCCCTCCACTCCTCGATGGGCTGGCCGAGGTCCACCGTGTTCATGGGCACCTTCACCTCCCCGATGATGTCGTGCTTGGAGAAGCGGTCGAAGTCGTAGATGGCCATCACCAGGGTCTTGCCGCCCAGCTCCTGGTACGGGACCTGCGGGCACAGGCGGGGTCCCAGGGTCAGGGCAGCCCGTGCACCGGGGCTGCTGAGGGCAGGGGCAGGGCCGGCGCTCCCCGCGGTCCCCAGGGTCCGGGCAAGCTGTGGAGACAGAGAGGGGAGCTGCCCCGAGGCGGGGCCACCAGAGCGGGGCCGGGGGTCCTCGTGCCCCCCGAGGGCATGGCCCAGGCGGCCCTCCTTCCAGACTGAGCCGGCTCCAGGGCCTCGCGGAGCAAGGGCGGCGGGCAGGCGGCCGCTGGGACCGGGGCCAGGACGCAGCCGTGGGGACCCCCAGCCCTTGTCACCTTGAAGGTGAAGGTTTCGTTGAAGGCCGGGTTCAGCGTCTTCCGATGGACTTTGGTCTCGTATTTCTTCTTCTTGTCTGGCAGGAGGAAGACTTTGACATAAGGGTCCGAGGTGCCTCCCATGTCCAGGGCCGGCAGCTCGGCCGCCTGCAGGACGCCGACCGTGAGCTGCGGAGACAGCGAGGCCGGCCTGAGCCCCCCGGCCGCCGCCCCGGCCGCCGCCCCACCCGCCGCGGGGAGCCTGGCCCCCCCCCACCTCCGGGAACGCGGGGTGACACAGGGGCCACCGAGGCCGAGGGGCACCGGCCGGCCCAAGGTCCGGCAGGTCCGTGGGGGCCCGCCCGGCCGGGCCCGCCCCTCCGGGGGGAGGAGGGGGCGGTTCCCGCCGCCCCGCACCTGGTTCGCCTGGAAGTCGTAGTCCAGGGAGAACTGCAGTTTGCCCAGGTTCTCGGGCTCCTTCTCCTCCTCGCCCTCCCCCTCCCCCTCCGTCAGGCCGGTCTCTGCGTCGTCATCGTCCTGCGGGGGCTGCGGAGAGAGGGACAGAGTTAGGACAGAACCGAGCAGGCGGCTTGGCACAGGGGCCGTGGGGTCAGCCCTCAGGCAGATCCCGGCCCAGGGCCTGGGGTGGGTCAGGGAGGGATGGGGGCTGTCGGGGGGACAGTCCCCCAGAGCCCGGCCCTGCGCCCTCGTCAGCTCCCCACCTTCCCCCAGCGCAGGCCCCCCAACCCCCCCCCCAACCCCCCCCCCACCCCCCGGGCAGGACATACCGGGCGTGCGGTCCGAGCGTGGTCCGAGCGTGAGGAGCAGGCGAGTCCCGGGTGGCGGAGAAGGAAGGGTGCAGTCGGCAGGCAGCCCGGCAGCTCAGGCCCCAGGCTGGACTTGGCCAGGGGGCTCTTGAGCCCCCGTGCCCCCCACACACGCGTGCACTCCCATCAGGCATGCGTGCGCGCGCACACACGGGGGCGATTTGCTCCCCGCGCTGAGCTCTGAGGTCAGGCCCTTCCCCCACCGTCTCCCCCCGCCCACACCGGCTGACCCCCAGGACAGGTCCCGTCTGCTGTCGCCCGGCGGGGCCTCTGCCAACTCAGAAGCAGGGCCCCTCCACGGTGACCGCCCCACGGGACGGGGCACTGTGACCGTGACCCTGGGCCACGCCCCGCCCCCGCCATGGGCTTGTCCTGTGTCCTCCTGGCAGAAGCCACCGCTCGCGCCCAGCGGACCCCCGGAAGCCGGGGTGTCTGTGTGGCACTTCCCTCTGCAGGCTCTTCCGGGGCCCTTGCGGGGGCTCCGGCCCCCGGGTCGGTCCCTCCCCGCCCCTCCCACGGGCCCGGCCGGGGAGCCCCGCGCACCCCCCGCGGCCCTACCTGCCCGCCCTTCATGTCCTTCATGCTCATGGCGTTCTTGGCGCCCTTGCCCTTCTCCTTCTTGTTCTTCTTCTTCCGGCAGCAGCACTTCTTGCAGATGCAGAAGCAGCAGGTGAGCAGCAGCAGGCCGGCCACCACAGCGATGGCGATCAGCGCCCAGGGCGGCACTGCGCACGGGGAGGGGGCGGGGTGGTCAGTGGGGCCCGCCCCGCCCTGCCCCACGCGCCCCACCGCGCGCCCGGGGACACGCCGCTCTCGGGGAGACGGCCCCGAGCCGCCGTCGCAGCCGCTGAGGCTGCTGTCCCGAGGCCCCCGGACGTGGCCCAGGGCTCCGAAGCCGGGGCGCCGCCAGGCACGAAAACGCCGCCGGTCCGTGTCCACCTGGAGCCGACGGAACGGACACGAGGCGGCCCAGCAGCCGCGCTTAAATAAAACACACGCACCCCGACACAGCGGGGCTTTTACTGTTTATCTTCCACAACCGAGTCGTTTCTAAGTGTGAGCGGAGGGCGTGAACAGCTATTTCTGTCTCATACCTTTTCCTCTTGTTTTGGCTTCATCTTTTGACACTTTCCTAAATCGTGTAAGATCGTTTTCCCTGGGGAGCCCGGGCCCCACTTATCCCCCCTTCTGTGAGCTGGTCCGTAGGCCGGATTCCTGAGGGGCTCCCCGATAGTCCTGCCTCACCCCAAAGCCCAGCCAACCTTGCCCGTGCTCCCCGCCCCCCTCCCAGCCTCGGGGACACTCACGGGGGATCTTGTTCATCTCGTTGAAGAACTTCTCCTTCAGCTTCGCGAACATGTCTTCCTTGCTCTCACCGGCTCCCCCGCTCTCCGTGGAGTTGTCCACGGGCCCCACGGGCCCCACGGGCGCAACAGGCATGGTGGCCGTGGTGGCGGCAGGAGCCACCACGGGCTCCTGGTTCCTCTTGAAGATGTTCCTCATGGCGGCAGCGGGGACAGCTGCAGGGGAGAGGGAAGGGGCCGGGTGATGTCCCAAGGGTCCCCTCCAGTCCGCTCCCAGCCCGGCTGGCAGAGGGGCCTGTCCCCAAAGTGCCTGTGTTCAGGCCCCGGGACAGGGGCCAGCGTGTGTGAACTCCCGAAGCCGATGCCCGGGGACGGCGGGACACAGGGCACCTTCCTGGACGCCTGTGTGCAGCGACGACCACAGGACCGCGGCTCCGTCCCCGCCCATGAGCTGCCCTCAGAGGCGGGCAATGTCACTTTCACTTCGCGATGGCCGGGCTGAGGCCCTGAGAGGTTCGGACACTTGTCCCCAGTCCCATGGCTGATGCGGAGAGAGCCTGGGTCTGCCTGCTCGCGAGGCCCTCGCCCTCGACCGCCAGCTCTGTCCCTGAGAACGCCAGGCCCTCCCCTGGCCCCGCCCGACGTCCCAGCCCACCCCACCCCGACCCCGCACTGCACTGCCCTCAAAGGCAGAACCAACGCGGCCACAACGCGGTTCATCTGAATCAGCCTTCCACTTTGCAGACGGCGAGGCCGCGGCCCAAGGTCGCATGGCGCTCGGCCGTCCTCCGCCCCCCACCAGGGCGCCCGCCGGGCTGCCGGGCCGGGACCCAGCCCCCCGCCTCCGTCGGCTCACTCCCGGGAGGTGCCAGCCTGGGCCCAAGGCGCCCCTTGTCCGCATCACGGGAGAGGCAGCGTGGCAGAGTGGGGGGCCGAGGCGGAGCAGAGGAAGCCGCTTCTTTCCCATGAGGTCACTGCTGCAGAACGAGACCGACCGACCGACCGAGAGAGGCAGGGACGGACAGACAGACAGAGGCCGAGAGGGGCAGAGCGGCTGCTCCCACCTGGCGGGGCAGCGTTGTGGGCCTCCGGGGAGGCCGCCCTGCACGTCCGGGAATCTCCCCCCGCAGCCACGGCCACTGTCCCACGGTCCGGAGGCCCCGGCTGCCGCCACCTGCCTCTGCTGTCGTCAGCGCGGCTCCCCGCTCGCCGAGCATCACGCAGTCACCCTAACCCCAAACACCCTGCTGTTGCCTTTGCGTTCTGACAATTAGCTGAAGCTCAAAAAATGTCAAGTAACTTGCTCAAGGTCACATGGCAAATACCCAGCAGATCTGGGGTTGGAGGACAGAAGCGGGATGCACACAGGAATTCCTGGGGGGCCCCGGCCCCTCCAGCCAAGCCCCCTTCCTGCTCCTGGGACCCCGGCCCGGAGCCTCATGCCGAGTGGCCGGGTGAGCAAGCCCCGGGAGGGCACCTGGTCCGACCCTCTCACGCCCAGGTGCGAGGAGGGAAACAGGGGCCTGCCCAAGGTCACACAAGGGCACACTCCCTGGAGGCAGAGCCTCGGACTCAACTCAGGCTTCCTGCCTTCACCCCGACTCTTCCCGCGGCACCCTGAGGCGCAGGGAGAAGTTGTGGCTGCCTCCCAGCTGAAACCGCAGCCGCCTCCCCGTCAGGGGACAGAAGAGCTGAGGGGTGGCACAGAGGGGGCACGGTGGGCACCCCTCCAACACCGCCCTCAGAGCAGCCCCGCCGGGGGCCGGGGGCCGGGGGCCGGGGGCCGGGCCGCAGGACCGTGGCAGGTCCGCGACAAGCCCCTCTAACCCCCCAGACTCCTGTCCGTCCCGGGAGAGCCTCCCCGGGGACGGCCGAGCCCCGCAGGGTGCAGGGAGGCAGGCGGCCCCAGGGCTGAGATCTGAGCGGGACGCGCCCGGGCGGGCCAGCCGAGGGGCTCGCAGCCCTGTCTCCACGGGGCAGAGGAGCGGGGTCTCCCAGAGGCCAGGGCCCAGGAGGACTTCTGCGGGGGGTCCGCACCGCCGGGCCCCTCAGTGGCCCCTGGGCAGGCGGGGCCAGTGCCTTCGGGGCAGGCTCCCGGCCCCAGAGGGTCCAGACCCCCAATTTCCCGATGAAGACACTGAGGCGCCGGGGTGGAGGCGTTTGTCCAAGGTCACAGGCCAGTCAGAACGGAGCGCCGGCCTCCCCCGGACGCACTGGGACTCCCGCCACCCGGCCCGGGGCGGGGCGGGGGCGGGCGGCGCTGAGCTGCCGCAGGGAGGTGGTCGCCGGCCACAGACTCCCCCGCGCCCCAAGGCTGGTTCTCCAGACCGCCCTCTCCCCACCTCCTCCCAACGCCTGTCGCTAAGCCCCCCACCATCCCGGGTTCAGGGGGTGCAGCAGCGAGTCCAAGGTCACACAGCACCGAGTGGAGCATGCGCGCTCGCCGCCCTGTGGCCCCTTCCCCACCCCCCACGCCGGTCCCTCCGAGCCCCGCAGCCTCCGGCGCCCTCGGGCCCTTCTCCCCCCAGTTCCCCAGCCGCCGCGCTCGCTGGAGGCGGAGAAAGTTTCTCAGAGAGGAAGGGACGGGAGAGGCTGCCCCGCATCCAAGCCGCAGACTCCCTGGCGCGCCCCGCTCTGCGCAAGGGGACCCGCGAGCTCCGCGAGCTCCGCGCGCGGGCCCTCCGGCCCCTCCCCGCTGCGGCGCGGGCGAGGAGGTCCCAGGCCCCCGCGCCCCCTTCCCCCGCCTCCCCAAGTTCTCAGCCCTGCGGGCTGACCTCCCCGGGGCCGCTCCCGCCATGCCGCGACCATGCCGGGCTCCCGCGAGGAGAGCCAGGCCTGCGGCGAGGGGTCCCCAGGACCTTCCGGACGCGTCCTGCGGGACTAACTGGGCTGCTCCGACGCGAATGGGTTTCCGGAGCCCGGTCGCCACCACCTGCTCCGCGCTGCGCTTAGTTTATCCGGCCGCGAGCGCCAAGCCCAGGAATTACGAGTGTCCCAGCCTGGCGACCCTGCCTGAGCCCCCGACCCCGCGTCGAGGCCCTCGGAGTGGCCCGCGGGTCGCGGCTTCGCTCGGGACCTGGGGCTGCCCTCGCAGGCGCCCCGCCGGCTCCTCTTACCGGGACGCCCGGCCGCACTGCGGCCCGAGCTCGCGGGGAACGCCGGAGGCGGGACGGCCGGGGCCCCGCTGCCCCTTCGCGCGCCGGGCGCTGCGGCTCCTCCGGCGGCTCGCCGCGCGCGCTCGCTCTGCGGTGCTGGCAGCCCGCGCCGCTGCCCCGCCGCCAATTGACATGCTCCTCACAGCAGCCTGCGCGCCCTGAGCCCCTCTCCGCCGGGGACGGGCGGCCTGGGAGGGCGGGGCGGGGGCGCAGGGGGGAGCGCGGGGAGGGGTCAGGGTGCCGCCGGGCGCCCCCAGAGAAGTTTGGGACGGCTTCGCGTCCCCAGGGCCCGTGGGGCAACACGGAGGGGCCCCGCCCACTCCGCGCGCCCCTGCGGCGCGCCCGCCTCCCACCAGCCTCAGGCGCCCCCGGGTGCGGGGACCGGGTGCGGGCGGGGCAGCCGCGGGGCGAGGGAGCCGACCTGCTTCAGGGGACGCGGAGGAGGTTTCCCGAGCCGGGAAGGAAGGAGGGGCAGCGAGGAGCGGGGCGCTGCAGACAAAGGGCGGGACCAGAGGGGCGGAGAGCGCGGCTCCGGTGCCCCCAGAGCTAGCACCGCCGGCAGCTGCGGAGAGGGGACGGGGGAGTCCGCCGCACGGGCCCGGCCTGGCCGCGGCCCGCGCAGCCCCAGGCGCATTCCCGCGCGCGCCAGGCTGGAGGGCGGGCGCCGCGAGCCTGGGTGTCCCTCCTCCGCCCCCGCCCCGCCCCCCGGACCCCGCTCGGCGCGGAGTTTCCGCCGGTGTCGGGCCTGCGCCCCTCGCCCCCGCCCCACGGAGACCCTCCGGGCTGCTCCTGCTTTGCACCCGCAGGAGCCGGACCAAGTTTGGGGTTCGACCCAGGAAGGAGCCCCCGTGCGCGAGCTCCGGGGAGGGCCTGGCGGAGAAGCCCCGGGATTTCCCGCTCGCTCGGCGGCTCTGCTCCTGCCGCTGCCCCGCGCCCCGCCCGCCTCGCGCTCCCGCGGCCACTGCAGCGCTGCGGCAACGCGGTCCCGTCCTGGGCCGCAGTCCGTCCCCCAGCCGCCGGGCCGGCGGCGGAAAACGCTGACTCGGGGGTTTCCAGGCTGCGAGCGCGTCCGCGTCCGCGCGGGGGGCCGGGACTCCCGCCTGCGAGCCCGCAGCCCTTCCGAGGGGAAAGGGGCCTAGGGCCCAGAGCTCAAGGTCAGGGGCCGGTGGGAAGGAGCGGGGGTTCCCCGGCCCCGCCTCGCGCGCGCGGCTGCCTCCCCCGCCGAGGCCGGAGGGGCAGGCCGTTGTGAGAGGCCCGCAGAGGCGCTGCTGCCGCGCGGAGGGTCCCGGGACAGGCCAGGCTGCAGGGGCCTCTGCCCAGTAACCGCAACGCGCGCCGCCTGGACGCCGGGGCGGGTGAAGCGACCCCCGCAGCCCCCGCCCCGAAGTGGACCCAGAGATGCCTGGGCCTCGCCTGCTCAAAGCTGCGCCCAGTGAGATGGGGTCTAATCACAGAAAATAAAGCACCGATGCAGAACTGGGTCCACTCTTTCCGACAATAAGCTGCTCCCCACGTCAGCTGCACGTGCCCCGGGGGCCCTGGGGGCAGGGAGCCGGGCCTGCGGGAGGCGCCCGCGCCTGGTCCCTGGGGGAGGGGCACGCGAGGCCTTGGCCCCCGCCCCCGCCCAGGGGTGGTAACGGCGGTTTACCGGCTTGACGCTGCTCAATCCTTGTCAACAATCCCAGGCAGCCACAAGGCGGAAAGGGACAAGCTGTCCCTGCTGCGGCACAGGGAGCCCCCAAAGCCCCCCTTGAGATCTCAGGGCAGGTTTGATGCAGAGGCCGAGACCCCGGCACGGACCCCATGCCCTCCCCCTGCCCCGGGCCAGGCCTGCGGCCGCATCTGCACCGCCGGGGTGGCCGTGCCCGCCCTCCAGGCTGAAAGGCTGTGCTTTCCTGCCGCAGAGCCTTCACACGCACGGCCTCGCACCCCACACCGCCGAGCCAGAGCCAGAGCCCGAGGAAAGGGAGGGGGTTCCAGGCCAGGGCGAGTGGGCGCAGGGGCGTCAGCCCTGGACGCACGGGGCCGGCAGGCCCGGCCGAGGCTGCCCTGACCCGCCTG